CATATATTTTCACCTCACGAGTTACCTTTGAACTGCAGTTCTGAAAGATCTACCGACCACAAATATAGCGGAGTGCACACTGCACGCCGGCTGCACCGGTGTGGTGAAGTCACCAGAGGACGAAACAGGTGATGTGCTCCGCTCCACAGCAGCAAAACGCATCAGACACAAATAAAAGTCAGAAATCATAAAAGAACATGAGCAGACATAAACGATTGCGCGTTAAGTTTGTTTTTTGAGGTGACGACACTTTGATAATGTTACTGTGGTGGTGCTCAGGATGCATCTGTCTGGAGCGTGTCAACGATCACAGCTTTGCGCCTCTTAGCTCTAAATAATCCCTGGAGAGTCCACATAGATAATGTAATATAAAATGGTAAATGGCCTGTATTTGATATAGCGCCTTCTAGAGTCCTAGAACCCCCCAAGGCGCTTTACAACACAACCAGTCATTCACCCATTCACACACACATTCACACACTGGTGGGGATGAGCTACAATGTAGCCACAGCTGCCCTGGGGCGCACTGACAGAGGCGAGGCTGCCGAGCACAGGCGCCACCGGTCCCTCCGACCACCACCAGCAGGCAACGTGGGTTAAGTGTCTTGCCCAAGGACACAACGACAGCGACAGACTGAGCGGGGCTCGAACCTGCAACCTCCCGGTTACGGGGCGAGCACTTAACTCCTGTGCCACCGTCGCACTATAAGTAGTACCAGGATCGTTTTTGGGCTCCCCCTGGGTGTGTTGACGGCTTCCAGGAGCTCCCTTTAGCTCACCTGTAATTTGAATCCTGCGTATAGCACAAGTTGGTTGTGTGAGTTGCCGGATCCTAGCAGACAGTTGCCGGAACAGTCCTTTAAAAAAAATAGTTCCCGGATCTTGTTCCGGCAAGATCCGGCTCAAATTAAGCCCTGACCATGACAATTTACAGGCTGAAAACCTTGTTGTATTGTTGCATCTACAACCTCCTCACACTAGGTGTTGTTTTGCTGTTCATGTTCAATATTCAACCTTTAAGCCGTTCTTCCCAATTCTGTATTTACGGCAGAAAGAAATGTCTCGTTTGTGAATGCACACCTCAAGCCTTGTTTTATAATTCTTGGCATCATGAAACGTCGCCTACCCTGCATCTGTCTACGTACATGCTCAAACGCTTGTGCACTCTGATTGACATCTGTACATAAGCAGACGTCTAATGCTATTGGCTGCAGCTGAATGGGGGTCAAATACAATTGCATGGGGCTCTATGGGATGGGCTTAGCAAAACTAAAAATGGGGTATTGGCTAGATTATATCACAGAACAAAGAAAGGCCATCACTTTCATGGATCTCTAGATATAATTTATAATTTCTGAAAGGGAAAAATCTACAGTTGCAGCTTTACTTTGACAGAATAAAACTTTTTATTAATGTCTGTTGATGCCTTTTGGTCCTGATCAGTAACATCACCCACTGCTAAAGCAGTTGCAATATGCTGAAGTCTTACCAAAATTTTGAACGAGACAATTTTTTATTGAGAAACAACGGCTCAGAGGACAGAGCCCTTGTATCTCCTGGTAACAATTCGCCCTCCCAGGACTCCTGGAAACACAGCTAATGGTTTCAGTCAGCTATGTTTCAATTTACTGAATTACTCTAGGGCTAAAAGGTATTCATGTGCAGTCTTGAGAGAACAAGAAGTAGACTTTCCTCCTTCCCTGGTGTCATTATTGCAGAAGCAGGAGGAAAGTATTTTGGGAAATTGCCATGGCATTATCTAAATGTAGAAAAATGAGAAGGGTAGACTCACAACAGCCATATCTTTAAGTGTATGGAAGGAGAAATATGCATTAGGGCTGAAAGATTGACTATTTCGTGATTGAAATTGTGATTTCAGACAAATGTTCAAGTCACCAAAGCTGCAGTTCTTTTGTAGTTCTCCTGATTGACCCATGATCTATTTTGTCAACTATTTGATACATCCTGGGTTGTCCCCAGGTTTTAAAACAGTTATGTTGGTTGTAGCAACCACCAGAGGCGAGGGCTGGATTGGCATCTAATATGGCGTCCTCCAAAGACGCCAGACCCACGTCCTTTGTACTTTAGACCCAATTAGTATGGTTATATGTTACGATGCCACCAATATTTTTCAACGACTGGTCATCATTTAACAACATTCTGATGGATATTTCCAGAGATTAAAGGTAAAAACTAGGGATGGACAATATATCAGCATCAATATCGGTATCGGCCGATGTTAGTCATTTTTTAATATATCGGTATTGATTCAATAAATAAAGCCGGGCTTGTATTAACAACCGATATTTTTTCCATCTCTTCTCCATTTGTTTGCCTGTTTCAGAGGGTGAGGGGGTGATGTGTAATTGTTTAGTCATGTGAACAGTGAATGAAGTCATCATGGAACCGTAAATATGTGTGTTGTGTGTACATTAACATAAATTCAGCTTAAATCATTTTTATTCTATACAAAATCAGCTGATTTTAGAAGCATTAATGTCAGTATATGGGCTCTTGATGAACATAACATCTATGATAGCTTCCAGTCAGGTTTTCGTAGAGCTCATTCTACTGAAACAGCTCTTCTTAGGGTCTCTAATGACCTCCTGACTCACAGTGATGCAAGGGACTGTTCTGTTCTGGTCCTGCTGGACCTGACTGCAGCCATTGACACTGTTGACCATCACCTGCTACTGGAGAGGCTGAGAGACTGGGTAGGCCCATCAGGATCTGCTCTGGAGTGGTTCTCCTCTTATCTTTCTGAGTGTTCCTTTTCTGTGGCCATCTCCAAGTTTAGGTCCTCCACCACCTCTCTTAACCATGGTGTCCCACAAGGTTCTGTGCTGGGGCCTCTGCTCTTCCTCCTCTATCTGCTTCCTCTTCAGCACATCCTGAGCTCCTTCAAAGGAATCTCCTACCATCTTTATGCAGATGACATCCAACTGTACATCTCCTTTAAGCCCCATGAGATGTCTAAGCTGCAGCTGTTACACACCTGCTTAGACTCTATCAAAACCTGGATGGCTGGGAGCTTTCTTCAGCTGAATGAAGATAAGACTGAGATCCTCATCTGTGCCCCAGACAAGCTGGTTCCAAAAGTCAGAGACTCTCTTGGTCAACTTGCTTCTCACACCAAATTTTCTGTCAGGAATCTTGGCATGACCTTTGACCCAGCTCTCACCCTGGATTCTCATGTCAGTTCTCTTGTTCGCTCTTCCATCTCAGGAACATTGCTAAGCTGAGTCCCATTCTGTCCCGCTCTGAACTTGAGACAGTTATCCACACCTTCATCTCCTCATGCTTAGACTACTGTAACTCTCTTTTCACGTGTCTGAGCAGAACCTCCCTAGACCATCTACAGGTGGTTCAGAATGCCTGTGCTCAGCTTCTGACCAAGTCCTCCAAACACACCCACATCACCCCGCTTCTCCTCCAGCTTCACTGGCTGCCAGTCAACTTCAGGGTTCATTTCAAGATCCTGGTTCTGGTCTATAGGGCCTTACATGGACAAGCACCATCTTACATTGGCGATCTTCTTAGTCCCTACACCCCCAGCAGGTCCCTGAGGTCCAGTGATCAAAGCCTACTGGTTGTGCAACGCACCAGGCTAAAGACCAAAGGTGACAGATCATTTGCTGCTGTGGCCCCCAGACTCTGGAACTCTCTCCGCCTGAGCCTGAGATCAGTGGACTCAGTGAACTCCTTCAAAAAGCAGCTGAAGACTCACTTGTTCAAGCTGGCTTTTGTATGACCTTCTTCAACCCCTCTCTCTTTACTCTGCTCTCCCCACCTATTCCACCTTCCTCAGGATCCACTGATTTCCCTCTTTCCTATTCACTCTCTCTTTCTTAACATTTTTTAATCCCAATTGTCTATTTCTGCTCATTTTAAATATATTTTTAAACATTTTCTAAATGCTTTTTTATATTTTTACATTTTTTGTTTTTGTGAAGCGCCTCATGATTTTTATCTTGAGAGGCGCTATAGAAATGATATTTTCTTCTTCTTCTTCTTTATCAGTATCAGCCAAAACTGTGATCTTAATATCGGTATCGGCCCAAAAATTTCATATCGGTGCATCACTAGTAAAAACTACACATCGTCTCTTTAAATATGACTGTTTCTTCAGCTTGAATTTGTACCCAGAAATGAAGTGGTCTGTTTCAGCGAAGCTCCACCCTTACATGTGACTCAATGATTTATTTACTCACAATATTGTTCCAGAAGTGCAGTGGTTTTTCATGCATGCAAATGAATTGATCAAATCCAACTATCTTACACTTTCATAATTAACACAGGACTCATAGATAAAAATACAATAAAGTATAGCTGAAATGTGACCTTACAACCCAAACACTGCATGCTACTGCCCACTTTTTATTTTTTCCTTTCACCAGGTAGCCAAGTGAGATAAATAGAAGACATGCTCTCCAGAGGGATATTTTCAATACACTACCAGGAAGGCAGAGAGGAAGTACAAGTATAGTTTAATAATTCATGCTACTGTGTGAATAAATGACAACATAAATAACAGTGTTCACGCAGATAAACCGAAGGAGGAAACTTGTGTACTTCAGCATCAGTGTTGGTGTGGTTTATGAGGACCTTTATCTGAGGTCAACACACTCAAACACTAAGTTGGAAGCCGGCTTGTGTGTTTTAAGTCCAAAAGATAAGAATTTGTTGAGTGCTTCTGGGTAACTGGATGCTGTGTGTGTGTGTGTGTGTGTGTGTGTGTGTGTGTGTGTGTGTGTGTGTGTGTGTGTGTGTGTGTGTGTGTGTGTGTGTGTGTGTGTGTGTGTGTGTGTGTGTGTGTGTGTGTGTGTGTGTGTGCAAGAGCCTAAATCCCAAGCAACCACCTGCAAGATTCCTGTGGATTATTCATGTATTTATTGGAAAGTTGCTTATAATAAACCAGCGGGATACCGATCCCCCCAATGCAAACCAAATATAACAACTATATTATGAACTGAATTTTAATGCTCTGTTGCTTATTTTACCTGTGACAGCTGTCTTGGATCAGGAGCCCCGAACAGAGATGAGCTGGAGCTGAAACTAATGGCTCCCCTCCGGCTGAGAACATGCTTGGGAACCGGCCTGTCAAGAGGCAAAACCGGCAGCTGATAACATACTTCCATTGAATAATCAGGGCTGGATCCGGATCAAAAATCTATTTACAAAATAAGATGAAAGTATGCAATGAAAAAACAGGTGAATTGGGGAAAAAATCTCCCCAAAAGAAAAAGTCGAAAAAATAGCTTTCAATATGGTGAAAACGATCTGATTCTGTTCATTATGAGCGAGTCAAACTTGTCCAGATAGCCTTCATCGATGCTGCGTGTCATCTGCCTCCACAGTTTTACCTCCTCTCGGTGTCATTCTGCAGAAAACAATTCATGCCGCTGTTGTATTTGCCCCTTTCTTTCTCATTTTGCTCAAATCCGGGCCCACGGACGACGAGACCTTCTTCTTGCCATTTTCTGGGTCTCTGTGAAATAGCTTCCTCATTTTCAAAGCAGAGAAAAAACGTCCGCTCGCATGGGTTTCGTGGCGTTCACAAATCCGCATTCATCACGTATCCCGATGCGAAAACAAAAGGCACGACCGCGTCCAAAAAATACCGTCAACATATCATTTGTCCTCCTTTTTTCTGTGCTGCAACGGAACAATCCCGGCGCGTGAAGTGAGGCAGCTCCGGGAGGATGTGGGGTCGTGGTCGGGGAGATTTTTCCTCGTTCACAACTCAACCGGTGGTGAAATATAATCAACATGTAGGGCTTTTCCGTCTTTTCTCTGAAGATGCATGATGAAGAAGCGGCGAAACACCAAGTGGCTCACAAAGAGAGAGGGAGAGGGGAACCCCAACGTTCGTCTCATTCGCCGCGGCTCCGGCGCGTTTTAATCAAACGCAATGGCACGAAAAACAAAAATACTGACCTACGGAGGAAAAATTAACAACCTAGAGTGTGTCTACGCGCTATAACTACCTGTCTATCGTCCTAACCAGGCTACTGTATGTTTTCAAAGCGCACACCACCTGCCAGAGATGGTGCTGTTGGAGCGCGAGCAACAAAATAAGGAACGCCCTTTGTATGAAATTAGCCAATGATGTCGAGGCAGTATTTGTAAGCTGAACGCTTATTTGACAATATGCTCAAACTGATATGAAACGACGCGCGTGAGTAGCCGGAAAGCCAGGGCGATCCCTAGACCAATATAAGCAGTCATTTGCAGACAGCGTGGACTTTCTCAAGGGTATTCCTTCACAACGGGGCTTGCCCTGCAGCGGTCCACATCATTGCCTGTGATTACCTTTCTCTCATGACTCATACTACTTGGGAGCTGAGACACATCGGGAGAAAGCTCTGCAAAATGCATTTTTCTATTGAGCTATGGGAATATTCTCCACGTGCACGCGTCATTCAAATGCATGCACATTTTACTGTCACACCTGTCTCTGAATGAGAAAAAAATAATGCTTTGTTTTGGCTTTTTAAAGATAATCTTTTTGGATTATGTAAGAAGATAACTATTCTCATCAACTTGTCATCCAGAATGAGACAATTTTCACGGGAGGTTTTTTATGGTACGCTCATGTGCGGGGGGGGGGGACAATACCATGGCAACAGAGCCACTTCCACTGCAAGTACAATCCCCTCCCTCCTTATATTCGTGATCCTGGATATGGTTCTCTGCCACCATTTCCCCACCCCCCAAAACGAGGCCTTGGATCTTTTTAGGGCAACACACAAACATCTTTAAATGACCAAGATACTTTTGAGAATGTGAAAATTATTCATGCTTTTTGAGCCTTAACATGGAGATGTAGGATGATCAGTAAGACAAATAACTCCCACTTTTGCAGAGCAAACCCTAAGTAAGTTTCTGAGTTTCAGCTCAATTTCTTAAAATTCTTGATTTTTAAATAAAATATTCGATGCATCTTCTGCAAACACAACAGAGATATTTCTCAATGCTGAGCCTACAAACCTGTTGTTTCCTCAACTGCTTGCTTTCATCCCTTGTTTGCACACAGCAGCGTTTATTATACTCCCACTGCTTTAAGTGCTCATTTGGGAAAATGACTCGGGAAGTATTTCTATTAATTAACTTCTGCCACTGCCTTTCTTGTCACCCTGCACACCTAAACAAACAGCAATGTGCACTGAAGCACACATGTGAAGCAGGTATACGCTCCAGTACCCATCTCAGGAGCCCTAAAAAGATGCGCTGTACATGTGGTAATAAAGAATCAGGTTCAAGCATTAAAACTAATTCAATTTAAGTTTATTTATATAGCGCCAAATCACGACAAGAGTCGTCTCAAGGCACTTCACATAATAAACATTCCAATTCAGGTCAGTTCATTAAGCCAATCAGAAATAATGTTTCCTTAAGCCAATCAGAAATAATGTTTCCTATATAAGGAACCCAGCAAATTGCATCAAGTCACTGACTAGTGTCAGTGACTTTACAGCAATCCTCATACTAAGCAAGCATAAAGCGACAGTGGAGACAAAAACTCCATTTTAACAGGAAGAAACCTCCAGAGAATCCTGGCTCAGTATAAGCAGCCATCCTCCACGACTCACTGGGGATCGAGAAGACAGAGCAGGCACACACACACACACACACACACACACACACACACACACACACACACACACACACACACACACACACACACACACACACACACACACACACACACACACACACACACACACACACGCACACACGCACGCACGCACGTACGCACGCACACACACAAAGACAAGTAATGTGTCTATAGTTATATTTTGATGTCTTAGTAAATATTCTATTTGGTGAAAGATAAACTATTGCATTTGTCCTAGTGGATCTATAATTAAATGGATAAACTAGCATTAGCACATCCAACCTCAAGGAAAGCAAAAAGTTATTATCAGGAGAGGGATAATGTTTTAGTGGTTAGCAGCAGTGTGCTGGACGATGGCCCCCTCCATGAGGCCACCACAGCTCAGCAGAACATCATTGTAGCTTCTTCTGGAGAGAAAAACACTTACAGAGACAATACAGTTAACAGCTGAAATTGCAGAAAATAGTACAGTTAAAGAGCATACTGTAGAAGAAAGCAGTAGTGTGTGAAAAGTGGACAGTGTGTCCTCCAGCTGTCTAAGCCTATAGCAGCATAACTACAGAGATAACTCAGGATAATCTATCCTATTTAAATGGAGGGATGTTGGAGTCAGGGCAAGGGAGAGCCGTCTTTACCGACTGTACACTCCACCTCCCTGTACTCCCCCACTTGTCCAGATTTAGGCTAACATCAGATTTTAACCATAGGCCCTATCAAATAAAAATGTTTTAAGCCTATTCTTAAAAGTAGACAAAGTGTCTGCCTCATGGACTAAGGCTGGGAGCTGGTTCCACAGGAGAGGAGCCTGATAACTAAAAGATCTGCCTCCCATCCTAATTTGAGATATTCTGGGAACCACCAGTAAACCTGCAGTCTGAGAGCGAAGTGCTCGGTTAGGAACATATGGAACAATCAGATCACTGATGTATGATGGAGCTTGATTATTAAGAGCTTTATATGTGAGAAGAAGGATCTTAAAATCTATTCTGAATTTAACAGGTAGCTAATGTAGGGAAGCTAAGACAGGAGAGATATGATCTCTCTTTTTAATTCTCATCAGAACTCTAGCTGCAGCATTTTGGACAAGCTGAAGACTTTTAACTACATTCTGTGGGCTTCCTGAGAGTAATGAATTACAGTAATCCAGTCTTGATGTAATAAATGCATGAACTAGTTTTTCAGCATCACTCCTGGAAAGGATGCTTCTAATCTTAGCAATATTCCAAAGGTGGAAAAAGGAAATCCTACAAACCTGTTTAACCTGGGATTTGAATGACATGTCCTGGTCAAAGATAACACCAAGGTTCCTTACTTTGTTCTCGGAGATTAATGTAATGCCATTCAGGTCAGGCGATTGGCTAAGCAATTTCCTTTTCTGGATTTCTGGTCCAAAGATGAGAACTTCCGTCTTGTCTTGATTTAAAAGCAAAAAGTTTAGAGTCATCCAGTTTTTATGTCCTCAAGACAAGTCTGTAATCTACCCAACCGCTTAGGTTCATCAGGGTTAATGGATAAATATAACTGAGTATCGTCAGCATAACAGTGGAAGTTTATCCCATGCTGTCTAATGATTTTACCAATTGGGAGCATATATATAGTAAAAAGAATTGGTCCAAGCACTGAACCCTGTGGTACTCCGCAAGTAACCCTGGAGTATGAAGATGATTTGTCATGTACATTTACAAAATGAAACCTGTCAGACAAGTAGGATTTAAACCAGCCTAACGCTGCTTCTTTGATCCCTACAACATGTTCAAGTCTTTCTAAAAGAACATTGTGATCAACTGTGTCAAAGGCAGCACTGAGATCTAACAAGACTAGAACAGACACAAGATTCATATCTGAGACCATGAGAATATCATTTGTAACTCTCACTAACACATTTTCAGTGCTGTGATACTCTCTAAAACCAGACTGAAATTCCTCAAACAGAGCATTAGTGTTTAAATGCTCACATACTTGGATGGCCACTATTTTCTCCAGGACTTTGGATAAAAATGGAAGGTTAGATATTGGTCTATAATTCATTGGGTCATCTGGATCCAGAGGAGGCTTCTTAAGTGAAGGTTTGATTACAGCAACCTTAAAATCTTGTGGTACATATCCATTTACTAAGGATAGATTGATTATATCTAGAATGGGGGCAGTAACCAAAGGAAATGCTTCTTTAAATAATTTGGTTGGGATTGGATCCAAAATGCAAGTTGAAGGTTTAGATGAAGCTAATATTTTTGATAAATCTGAAAGCTCAACTGGATCAAAACGGTTCAAGCACAGATGATGTTCTACAGTCACCTCTGATGCTGCCTCACTTACTGAGGAAGAAGAAATCGCATTAGGGAGGATACTAAAGATTTTGTTTCTAATAGAATTAATTTTACTTTTAAAAAATCCCATGAAGTCATTGCTGCTGAGGGCTAAGGGAATAGATGGCTCAGAGCTATGATTCTGTGTAAGTTTAGCAACTGTACTGAAAATAAATTTAGGATTATGCTTATTCTCCTCAATTAGTGCTGAGAAATAAGCAGTTCTAGTTTGTCGAAGCTTATTTTTATAAAGCACAAGACTATTTTTCCAGGATAGGTAGGCCTCCTCATGGTGCGTAGAGTGCCATGTTCTCTCCAATTTCCTAGAGTTTTGTTTTAAGGCTCATAAATGAGAATTAAACCAGGGAGACAACTTCCTGTCCCTAATTACCTTCTTTTTTAAAGGGGCAACATCATCTAATGCCACACGTAAAGAGGAATTAACATGATGAACTAATGCATCAATTTGTGAGGGGCTAGAACTGAAAATATTGCCCTCTGCTACATGCCTCTGAGATGCTGAGGACGGTAAAGATGGAACAGTTGATTTAAAAGATGCAACTGCATTCACACTCAATTTATGCAATGGCGCCCCCTAGAAAATTGCTGCCCACCCCCCCCCTCCCACCAGCAAAAGCCAGTGTTAATAAATCATATTAATGTTCACTCAAACCATAAATTGATCTTATTTATTCAAGCATAATTTAAAAACAAAATTAATATAATACAATTAATGAGTAAAAAAATAATCAGAATTTAAAAAATACATATGTTTCTGCTGCTCACACTTTAAAAAAGTTTTTATCTCCATGGTTTTTCGTGAACACAGCAAGAGGTAAACATTTATTTGAAAATGTATTTTTTAGTTTAATTCATGAATTAAACTAAAAAAATTGATTTTCAAATAAAATTTTAAATAACTGAAATGTATTATTCTGAAATGTTTATGTTTGTAAAATTGTGGTTAAATTTTTTGGATACGTGCTGTTTTAAAATTTTTTTTAAATAAAAACAAATAAAGGAGCAATGCAGTACATCACCACAGGCTAAACTCTCCCAGAGTTACCACAAGGGCCAATTTGGTGTGCCACCCCAAAAATTTCTTTGGCCTCGTCTGGCCACCCATCAACATATTCTGGAGGTGCCCCTGAATATATGCAGCATTATTTACAGATAATTAGATTAAAAATAGACACATATGCATGGTTTTCTATATGTCCCTTAGTTGCAAATCTTCTGTACTTCTTTTACACTGCAGAAATTAACAATAAATTAACTAAAAACATTTTTGCAGCGTGTATGCAGTGCCCTCTTATGGACATAATGCATAGTTACAACACATTGTTTTAAAAGCTCTGCAATACTTATTTTATTAATCAAAAATGCAAAAGTTAAAGGATTACCATTATTGATCTAGATTAAAATGTAGGATTCTACGTGCAAGGCTTCCTATATTAAATTTAAGCAGACGTTTAGAGGTGTATATTTTAAATGTGTCTGGTTATGTCTCATCTCTTATTCATGAAAAAAGTGTCTATGCCACTATGTGAGTAGTGAAAGTTGCAGTTAACACAATTCACTATTACATATGTCAGCCACTAGATGGCAGCATTTCTCTGTATTTGGAAAGGTATCAAAGCTTTACAAGCTCAGCTCAGGTAATTTGAGGGAAGAGAATATAAACATAGTGTTATAAATTTTGCATAAGTGCAAAACCTGGTAGAAGGTGCAGAAAAATTCTGGTAAGAAAAGACAAATATCTTCTGCCGACAATGCATTGATAAGGTTTGCCATTTTTGCACAACTGCACTGACACTCAGCTATATTAGGTGAAGAAGTAGGAGAACACGGCTGAGGTTAGTTTGCAGGTACAGGTAACAGGTATCCTGTTTGAAAAATATGACTTCACTAGGTCTTTTTATCTTTCTTCACATGTGATCGAGCTGGTCATGGGACAGGTAACAATACATTTCAGGGAAATTCTGCAAAGGATTCCAGGTGTCCTACATAGTTTTCCTCCTGGTAATTAAACTAGCTACAGTGCATTAAATCCCTCTGAAGTTTTCAGGGTCTGAGGTTTACGTTGCGCCAAGAGAAGCATCTCCGTTTATCCCAGAACCACAAGTTTAAGTGGAGCTTTAAACACGCTGACGTCTTTTTTACATCATCACACGGCAGATGTTGCATAAATTTCCACGTGGAAATCTTACTGTATTGGTTAAATGCTTCAAGGGAGTTTATTTTAAACGTTATCTTTTCACAGTATAAAGAGTTGAGGCTCATTTTATATTCGTTGTACAAATCTGCTGGGGTACAAATGTTATTTCAGAAAGAGTGTTGGACTTTCACGTCAGCTTTTTTCATTATAAGTTCAACTTATCACACTTTTATAACATTCATTTATTAAACTAATGAGTTATCTCTAAAATGTTATAATCTTTACCTTAAAGCCACAACATGGGCTATGAGTTTCATCCGCGGTTTCCATGGTGGCGTCACAGGGGTTTACCCACATAGATTTTAATGGGCCCTACATGGGTTTTCAGAGAGACCCGGCTTGACTCATCCATAGGTTTGTTAAAATCTATGTGGGCAAATCCATGTGGGGCCACCATGGAGACTGCAGACAAACCCAGTTTTTCTGGAGGACTGGGAGGTGCAGGAAGATCAGAGACAGACAGGACAGGAAGATAGGAAAATAAAAACCAAGAAAACAAAACAAAGTTCTTAACAAAATAAAATGTAGGTAGATTTATCCCACTACACATTTGTACCTGTATAAAGCAATAATTTATCAGCATGTAGTATTTATATAGTTGCTACAATTCATCTTCAAAACTCCGCCCCATGCGCAGGGACGTATCTAAGCATTTTGGGGGCCGAGGCTAAATAGACCCCTGCCAGGTGTTTTAAGTTGAAGTGCTATCTGTTTTTATTTTAGACTTTTTATATTTGCAATAAAGTCCAAAAGTGAATAGTTTATGTTATTTATTACTTGATTGTTAAAGCTACCTCACAGAAGTGATCTGTTGTTAAAAATTAAAATAAAAAGGTAATTAAATAAAAAATAAGGAACATTCTGGAACTGTTTCTTCCTTTTCTTTTATTTTATGTATCAAAAGTAATTAAGTAATGATATTTTGTGTCCATCAGTGTGGATCTTTTACTTCTTGGTTAATTTTAGTATTAATTGACTCATGTTAGTGTTAGCTCGTTGTTAGCACTAGCTACAGCAGACTGCTGCAGGGTTGTTTACGACAGTTGTAATTCCACTTTCAACCGGTAGGGCGGAGGAGCAGGAGACTGCTCGTGTTACTTTAAGCTGAAGTACAACTGAAACCAGTTTGAAAGCAATAGCTTAAAGTAAAAAAATTGTTAGTGTTGCTTTAAATTTAACCTTCTGAGAGTGTATTTCCATTATGGTCTCATTAACTGCTTCGTTGTAGCGTTGACTTACAATAACTTACATAAGACAAATGAAGTGAATTTAAACTTTTTTATACATTATTGTGATTACCATAAATAACACCGTAGAGGCACGTTCACCATCACCGCGGCAATTTCCTCCTGTATTTACATTTATTTTTACATTTATATTTCACATCAATAAAACTCACAGAATGAATGATCCTCTCTCTTACAGACTTTTTAAATCACAGGCACTGATTGCTTTCCATCTGACTTCCACCCCATCTAAAATATTCATACAAGCGAACAGATGGCACCCTTTGCTCTGCTTCCTGTATATGTTGTTAGTGCGCTTGTAGAGTTGTTTGAGTGTTACGTGTGTATCTTGAGTATCTTTGGAAGTGCCTGCAGACCCTTTTTACTATACGTACTGAAATTACAGCTGAGCAAGAAGTTTCACACTGCGCTCTTTAAACTGGCATCTTCTTTTTGCTCCAAAGGCAGAACTGTCTGGCATTCACGTTGGCCTTTCATCTTTTAAAAAGTCTCCCACACCGCTCTTAATTTGTCAATTTTTATGAGATTTCTGCCAACAGGCTCTGCCATATTATGAGTCAGACGGTTAATGGCTGCAAAATTATGAATTCACTTTAGTGACAAAAACACAACTCGGAACATCTCCCTAATTGATCTCATCTGAATTCACTTTTAGGCGTCAGCTAAATGGTGGGGATCGGCGCGGTCCTCGCTCATTAATGAATGTTTAATCACACTAGCCTTTTAAAGATTAATGGTTAAAACTGAATAAAGTGGCGTTCCCAAATGAAATCACAGGAAAAAATATTCATAGAAGAAGCACTTGAACAAAAGAGAGGATCTGGGTGAAACACACAAGCTTATCTTTAATAACAAATATTAATGTGCTCTTTAACATTCTCATATGAGGCAGCAGCTAGATACAGAAGTGGCTGATTTTTATTTTCCTCTCACCTTAAAGGCATTAACATTTTGCTGGAAGCCGTGGTTCCACACCTGCTTTGCTGGTGTCCAACAGATGAATGAAAACAAAGGCACACAAAAATAGAGCGATCGAGAGAGACATTCATTATTTTCAGAAACAACATCTGCCTAAAATGTTTAAACATGACTCACTGACTCTGATGTGCCTGTGCGAAACGCGCTGCATGCATTTCCATGTGGCCTCACTATAAAAGGAACAGAGGTGCAAGATGCAGATGTCATGTTGTATTAGTCAGAGGAAAACGACAAATTAGGTATAAAGTACTTTCAAAAGGTATTTATACAACATTTTACCACAGCGGTAACCACTGACTCAATCTGTAAGGTAAACCTGTCCTAAATGATCAAATTTATTCCACTAATTACATTTAGAAAAATATCTGCATGATGGAAATCAAACATACATGCTTCTAATTAAATTCAAGTGTAAAGGCATGAACTTAAGACCCTTGTTGAAAGGGTAAAAACTAATGTTTTCTGAACAAGTGTCAGAATATAAAATATGAAGCATAAAACACAAAATACTTAATAAATGCATGATGCTTGCCATAATCCATCACACAAGTGCTAATTATCTTCAGTGAGTCATCCATCAGTATGCATCTGCAGTACTGTTTCTGCCGCTTCAATCTAGAGTAAATTATGTTTTATCACAAATATAGAGCAAATGAGAGACATATCAGTAAAAAATTAAAATGAAATTTTTTTGGAGTGTTTGCAAGTATAGGACAATTAGTCGTTTAACTATGTGCAAACATTAAGGCCTTGAATTGAAAAGTTATTAATGTAAAGATTATTGTTTGAGATCAAAAATCTTCACCTAACTGTAATGTGACAAGATAAAGGATTGTGTCTCACCAATAATTTTTATTTTACTTAAACATTTTATTTAAGAGAAGCATATTTTGTCAACATTGTTACCACAGAAAATATGATTATAAATGTAAGAATTTTAACCCGTTTCATGAAATTAACAAATCAAATGTTCAAGGATAGTTTTAAGGATTGGTTTTTTAAAAATTCAAAAGTAACCCTCTCCTTCGAGCCGGATTCGAACCAGCGACCTAAGGATTTCAGCGCATACCCACTACAGTCCTCCGCTCTACCAACTGAGCTATCGAAGGGAGACGTTCACTCCAGCCAGATCTACTGGTTTTAAGGGCGTACAGTCACGTGTTTTTATTTTTAGTGTGTTATTCTATAGCAATTTCGACTGCAAGTATTAAATACTTCGCTAGTTATGATGGATTTTCACACCATTTAATGCATAGATTTAGGTCCACAGACATATACGTATTCACGTCTATGCTTGTGCTGCTAACGAGGCTATAGCTTCTCAGCTAAGCTAACTTAGCTTAGCTAAGTAACATTACCTAAAGTAAACCGGTGTCGGTAAATGGTATCCTATAACTGTATAATGACTTCTGTATTATCAAGTTTGTGTGGCACCAGACAGCGATTCGGCTCCACAGGCATGTTACGAAACTCAACATAATATGTTGCCGGAAGTTGTGTTGTTACGAGAAGATAGAGCGCTTACATTAAAGCGTTGAGTCGATACCGGCGTCACTTAAATTATCTTTTGATTGTTGACTGGTTAGTTTTCTGACTTAATTACTTCTAATGAACTTTTTTAAAATATGCACTACTTCTATAGAGCTGCAACTCCATTAATACATTCTAAAAGACGGACTTTTAATCAAGTTACTGCGATTTTTTCAATTCAGCGAGTAATTCAAGATAAATAAAATAAGAATCGAATAGAAAAATAATTTAATGTCCCTTAGAAGATATTGTTTTTGCTCAAATAGTAATATCCAACGTAGCTACGAAATTAACACTAATAACAATAATAATTCCCTTAAAATATTTTCTGTGTTTTTTAACAAGTTTTATTTAACCAATGAAGCTTACAGGCTTACATAAGAATCAATATTTACAGTTGAATTCTGAGCATGACAAAAAAATATATGTTTCTGCGGTAGCAAACCTTTTTGTATTCAGGGGGTCCTCCTTCATCTGGTGTTGCTTAGAAATGTAGGCAGTTTTTAGGATTTTTTGCTAATCAAATATTATTGAAATGTTAGCATTAGGGGACATAGGTCTTTCAGTTTAGCATTTTTTACATTTTGACTTTCACGTCATCAACATATATTATAAATTAATTAACCAATATATAAATACACATAAAACATCAGCATACTGGACAAAATTGAAAGTTACCTCATATAATTTCACTGATTTTTCCTGCTTTTTGTCCCCCCCTATAGGACGCAGATGGTAGTTTAGAGAGAGATAAGCAGCTGTTCAGTACTGACTAGTTCAGTTTCAAATATGGGCAGGGTATAAATGGCAACATTTGACGTGACAGCAGTAGCTGCTGCTAAAATAAAGCACTGACACCAACTGGGTACTCCCACTTATCCTATTCAGCACCCTCGTGACTGAATCTGCCGTGGATTACTAGCTTTTGATAAACTTTCGCAAATTTAAGTTTTGTATGACTTTGTTTGTCCTAAGCTGGCACCATGGAGAACCTGGAGAAGCAGCTGACTTGTCCCATATGCCTGGAAATGTTTACAAAGCCTGTTGTCATTTTACCTTGCCAGCACAACCTCTGTAGGAAATGTGCCAATGATGTTTTTCAGGTAAGCCAATTTAATGAATCCCCTCAGTTTTTTCTGTAACAACAGAATTTAGGAGTTTAAGAAAAATGTTGATTTATAAGCATCTTATGCATACAAATGCGCTGCCTGGCTCACATTTTAATATCTTCACAGCCACAATAATCACGGTTTGTGCTTTAGTGAGAAAATTAACACTTTGTGTCACAACCAATGATGAGCCAAATATGTATAGGCTTTGTTGAAATATTATTGATGTAATAAGTCACAAGTAAAAACACAATTATTTCATAAATTATTTAAATCTGGCTGTTGGTAAGCTTTTTGATTTACACACTCATTTATGCAAACTTGTTTTGTCTGTACTTCCTCTATGCACATTGCATAACGGCTGAGTGAAACCATTTCATTAACTTGCGCAACAGAGATGTGTTTGACCAGCATCAACACTCCAGAATTAGAGTGTGAATTATTGCTTTGCAGGCTTCAAACCCGTACTTTCCAACCAGAAGTAGCTCGTTGACGTCTGGTGGCCGTTTCCGATGCCCATCCTGCAGGCATGAGGTGGTCCTGGACCGACACGGTGTCTACGGCCTGCAGAGGAACCTGCTGGTTGAGAATATCATTGATATGTTTAAACAGGGATCCAGCAGGTGAGACAGATCAGGCGTAAAGTACACCTAACACTTCCAATATCCAGCAAGAGGGCTTGGTACGTGAGTCAAAGCCATCCCTGAGGGCAATAAGCAGGGATAGTAAATGTGAGAGGAGGGAGAGCAGTGTGATGCAGAAGGTGCATCAGTTACTGTTGAGGCTTCTGAGTCATTCTGCTGGTGTAGGTTTGGTCGTTTCTAGTAGCATCATGTGCACGGATGACTTCTCCAGTGGCTGACTGGATAGCCGAAAGGCTAATCTGACATAAAATCCACAGAACTGAAACTTCCCATGTCGTCATAGAGTTTCATTTAATTTAGAACATCAAATAGATTATTTTGAAAACTAATTTCTGCAGATGAATGGTACATAGCAGGTTATGTTTTTGTCTGAGTGCATTGGTTCATTTGCAAAATATCTCATGAGGATGAATTTTGAGATCTATCATTAGATGTAGAGATCAACCGATATGGGTTTTTCTGATGCAGATATCTACAAGCTATGGCCCGCCAAATTTCACAGTCAATATCTTGTAATTTTCCACCTTATCTGCATGCTAAAATGTCACTAATGACAAAATAACGACCATTCATGCACAACATCTCTGAATCGAATCAGTTTTTGAATACTGATTTTAACCGACGTCTGAATCTTGATTTTGTGCAAGATCAAACAATCAACGAGAGTTGCTCAAACAAATCAATTAACTAATTCCATTGTTGGTTCCTTTTTAAAACACAGAAAAGGTTTCTTTTTACCTTGCTGACAGTTTCGTTGGCAGCTGCAAACTTCCTCAGAGCTGATGCTGATGGTGGCGTCACTTCCTACTCCATTTATCCGCGGGCAGCAGAGGATGTTGTCACCCTCTGCTGCCCGCTCTCCCCTCACCGATGATGCAGCCCCATGCACGATCCAATGTGTAAACTCCATCATCTCTGGCCGCGAATAAACGGAGTAGGAAGTGACGCCACCATCAGCTGAGGAAGTTTGCAGCCACAAACTAAACTGTCAGCAAGGTAAAAAGAAACCTTTTCTGTGTTTTAAAAAAGAACCAACAATGGTATTAGAAATCAGACACAGCAAGAACGTACCAAAGAAATCAATAAACTGACCAAATATTAAATATAATAAGGTAAATCAAAACAATGCCAGTTGAAAATGATGGTAGAGTGTTTAGAAAGCAGGTGTTTTCAGGGACATAAATATACAATTCAGCAGCAGCGACGGGCTGCCCACACATGTGATTGATGTTAAAAAGGGGTGTGTCGGCCGACAGTGATAAATATTAGCCGACCGATATCGAAATCACTCTTTTCCTAATAGAGTTTATGCCAGAAAACTAACAGTTTGGTGCTTCATGACTTTTTATTCAGGAATAAATGAGGGAAAACTGGAGCAGGAGATCAATGGGTGAATTGGTGCTCAGTTCTCTATTTACCGGTCAATCTACATTCCTATTTTCATCTATGGTCACAAGCTGTGGGTAGTGATGGAAAGAACGAGATCACGGATAAAGCGGCCAAAATGAGCTTTCTCCGTGGGGTAGCTGGGCTCTCCTTTATAGATAGGCTGAGATGCTTGGTCATCCGGGAGGGGCTCGGAGTAGACCCGCTGCTCCTCCACATTGAGAGGAGCCAGTTGAGGTGGCTCGGGCATCTAGTTAGGATGCCTCCCTGGTGAGGCTTTCTGGTTACATCCAACTGGGAGGAGACCTAAAGGAAGACCCAGGACACGATGGATGGACTATGCTTCTCAGCTGGCCAGGGAATGCCTTGGGGTTTCCCTAGAGGCTCTGGCTCAAGTGGCTAAGGAGAGGGAACTCTGGACCTTTCTGCTTAGGCTGCTGCCCCCACGACCCATCCTGAGATAAGTAGAGGAAGATGAATGGATTGATTAATGGCTTTTTAGCCAGCTGAATGATTTTGGGGTCACAGTAACAGTAATGGTCACCAGTGTCGACAGGATAATCCAGGCCAAATCTACGATGCCAAGTGGCTTGATTCTCCGATGGGGAATCTCCGAGGGGGGAAGGGGTACATACTGGGAAATGTACAGCAGAACAGTCGGGAGGGATGAAGCAAGCCCCATCAAGGAGTGTGAAATAGCCAGTGACTGAGAGTTTCACTGCTGTTGTGGTTCTGACTTCAGAACATATCGTCCCTTTTGCCCCCCCTTGTGGCCTGGGGGTCCTAAGCAGTTACCTTCTGGCACGCTACGTCCCTGCATCTGCAGCTGTTTAACTTTTGTCCTCTCAATTCAACATGGCCGCGATAACTGATCCACATTAGCAACAGATCATGTGAAATATTGGGTCACTTTCAAGATTCGACCAAAACAAGATGAACCGATTTTACTTCAATAAGTGCTTTAATTAACAGATAAACCCAAGCTGGAATAGTAATGTTGTAGACTACGGCAACTACACCGTCTACTCAGTCTGATGCTGATGTACCGATTTCCATTCAGACATGCAAAAGAAGGCTGATTGATTGTCAGTAACTGTGACATTATCAAAGTGATGTTAAGATGTTTTCGTTCCACTTCAGCAACAGCAAGCCGGCGCCGGAGCAGAAGGACGAAACGCCCATGTGTGACATCCACGAGGATGAAAAGATCAACATTTTCTGCGTGAGCCACGGCGTGCCCACCTGCTCCATGTGTAAAGTTTTTGGAGCCCACAAAGACTGTGAGGTGTCCCCCATCAGCAGCATCTACCAGACTAAAAAGGTGAGGCCTGAATGCTCGTCACCCCTCCCCCGATTTGAATCAGAGATCCTTCTCACGTCTTGTTTCTTTAGACGGAGCTGAGTGACGGGATCGCCATGATGGTTGGCAACAACGACCGGATTCAAGGCATCATGAGTCAGCTAGAGGAAGCCGGTCGTGCCATAGAGGTGAGTACAAACTGCTCTAATGTTCCCGCGTCATGGCCACTCTGCTTTTCTCAGCATCAGCCCGTGGGGTTTCACACAAAAGGAAAGAGGAGGAAAATTGGTGTTTTGGTTCCACAGTGTTCTGTTACCCTGCTGTCTTTTTTTCCTCTTTCCCCACGTGTTCCTTCCACAAATACCCGATTCTTGCTCCACCCGCGTGGCGCCGACAAAGAAGCGAGCAGCGTAAGTGAGGCGGCAGCTTTCCATTGGTTTGTGTCGCAGTTGGACGTAGTGCGAGGACAGATGGACCGGTTCCAGGTCCCCGTGTGTCCACCCTGATGGCGTCACTCCCAAACATGCAGAATGACAATAACACTCTCCTGTTATTTTCTCTTTTAAACCACACGATAAATCACAAAATAGGATTGCCTTTCTGAATTTCCACTATTTTTTTTTTATAAAAATTGACATATTTAAAAAAAATATCTGTGCAGGAGAACGGTCGGAGGCAGAAAACGCTTGTGTGCGAGAAGTTTGACCAGTTGTACTCGCTCCTGGAGCAGAAGAAAAGGGAGATGACTCAGAAGGTGACGGCTGAACAGGAAGAGAAGGTGGACTACATTCGGAGCCTGACAAGGAAATACGTCGACCACCTGGAGGAGAGCTGCAAGATGGTGGAGATGGGGATTCAGACTATGGAGGAGTCAGAAATGGCTTTGTTCCTTCAGGTGACTGACACTATTTCAATTATAATCAGGTGTCTGGGTGTGTTTTGGACACTATAAATGAAATATTTATGTCTCTTGTCTCTTTCAGAACACAAAACCTCTCCTTCAAAAGTGAGTGCACGCTGTTATTAAATGTTTATTTTTAAATTAAGGGCACACTTGATAGTTTTGGTTTTCTTTTAGCACCCCCTAGTGTCCATTTAGTAGAAGCAAAAGAGTAACTTATCCCCTAGCTGTGTGTTCGTCTTTTTAACACCTTAATCTAACAGCTGAAACGTCTCCTCAGCCTTCATTAGTGTCTACAGGAGCGTTTCATCACTTCATTAAACAAGTCAGCTGTGTTGATGATCTAAAACATTCAGGAAAAGTGCTGGAAGCAGACTGCAGCTCCAGACTTTATCTAAGTCCATCCGCTGGCGGCCCACCAGTCTGATGTTGCAAGTGCGATATTCTGGCCACAGGAGGGCGGTGGGGTCTGAACGACTTTTCAGTAACCCTGTAAATGGTCATTTTAGCACAAACTGCCTCAAGAAAGTTATTAGAAAATATGAACAAATTTGCATTGTATGTCTTTAACATCTAAATTCATAATCCTCAACAAATTTTTGGACTACAGTAATCCCTTGCTACTTCGCGGTTCGTTCATCGCGGATTCGCTGCTTCGCGGATTTTTTCTTTGGAGCATTTTTCAGGGGGAATTCGCAGATTTGCGGTATTTCTCACTGATTCGCGGTATTTTTCTATGCGAAATATCAAGAAATTCTTGTTTTTTTTCATCAATTTCATCATTAAATGCACTTTTTGTAATAAAACTAAAAAATCCAAGTAAAAAAAATGTTTTTCTTGAGTTTTACCCACAAAAAGAGAATGTGATCATACGATAATTCAATATAGTACTGTATGTCAGACAGGGCGGCTGGATTCGGGAGCTGAGCTTGTAGGGAGCGTGGTTTCACATACGCGGAAGTGAGAGCGTCTGTGAAACGCCGGCTGATCTAGGAAACCCCCGAGCGTTCGAGCATCAACGAAGTGACACGGAAATGCCGGGCTTTCCAGAAGTAAGTAAGATAACTTACTATGAGCTGATAGTTCGTTGGATTGATCGGTAGGTTGGAAACTCTTATCATGAATCTGAAGAAACGATGACTGAGAGGTGAGCTGGAAAGGCGACTTCCATTTATAGCCGCGGTTTGTGACGTAGGTGCGACGTGGAGGGAATCCCCGCGAAGGGCATGCTGGGAGTCCCTACTTCGCGGATTTTCACCTATCGCGGCCAGGTCTGGAACGCATCTACCGCGATAAACGAGGGATTACTGTACTTTGGTCTTGGCTGCACACAGCCTAGCCATTAGCTTATCAATCCTGTTGGATATAATAGCTAGTAAGTAAACTATTGACTTTTTTATTACTTTTACACATAAGCTCACTTTAAAATGACCCAAAATATATATTTCTCTATTGTTTTATTTTTTGTGCTGTTTAAATGTTTTTAATGATTTTTTTCCTTCCATTCTTATGAATGAGCTAACAAATTTATCAACACCAACAACACGTTAGCAGCAACGTCACACTCATTCCCCGCAGCAGATGTGCAAAATAATTCAGTGCAATGTTGTAAATCACCGCCTTGTGCTGTTGTGTCCCAAAATAAGTGGTGGAACGAGCTAAAAATCACAGATGTATAAATAATGTTTCATTTAATCATGTGAAGCTGTTTTGCATCATCGTGTACTCAGGATTGCAGATGCATCCAGTATGTCACACTTGGATAAAGTCGAGCGAGGATACGAGCAAATGAATCATTACAGCGTTGATTTCAGGAAGGAGCGCAAGGCCCTGCGGAGCATCGACTTCGTCCGGGGTAAAGGGACGAACGCCCAGTAAAGTTTACCTCACATTTCTGCTGGTCTCTGACTTTTTCTCTCTCTTTTTTTCTTTTCTCTTTGCATGTGCGTCACTTCTTATACAGATGACGAGGACGAGGACGAGGAGGATGCTGCTGATGCAGGTGATGAGCAGAAAGAAGAGGCTCGGACTGATTCTGCAGGTGTCGTGCTTCCTGCCCCTCCTGCATCTCCTGCATCTCCTGCCCAGCCGTCTGCCCCTCAGCAGACCTAGTCACCTTCCTCCCACGCAAACACCGCCATCAAAAGACGGAGAACTCTTTCTCTTTGTTGATTTCAAGTCAGTTGCGATGCATTTTCACCCAAACGGGCAGGAGTGCAGGAAAAGCCTGCGCTAAAGGAAACGCCTGAGCGGAGGAGGGTGGATCTAAAGAAGGAAGGGCAGAGATATTCATAGCTCCCATAAGTCCACTCTGGCTGATCTTATTTCCTTTTATCTCATTAATTATGTATGTTTTTAACTCCTCCTTTTCATTTTGAGCATAATTAAAGACGGACTGTCTATTGGCCGTTTCCAGAACTCATCTATCCATTTTTCATGTGGCTGACCTTTTGCATCCCACAGCTAAAACTGCATCAGACAGAATAAAGGAGACGGATTCAGACTTTTTGTGACCGTTATGATTTTTACGACTCAGAACAGGCGCATAGAGAAATATCACGCAGAAATTTCTATATTCAGGAATTGTGTTATTTTCCACTTTACATGTTTTGTGTCATTAAAAGTGGTTTAACTTCAGTTTTAGAGGAATTTTTCCAAATATGTGAAATATTTCCCCCTTTGTTCTAGTTTTTGTCGCTTTTTCACTAATTGTTATGAAGGCTACACTGATGTAAACACAAAAAGTGTCCTCATGGTCTCACCTTGCTGCATGTCCATCTAATCGGTGTCACTCAAGAGAGCCGGACCTTTTCCAAATGGACCTAATGCAGAGATAAGCTCCTGTGAGCTAAACAGAAGAGGATGACTCACTCCACACCGCTCCTGTGTAGAGTATCTTGACTCTGCAGGTCAAAGATCAACACACACAGAATATTTCACACTCATTAGCCACGAGTGGTGCATCTTGGAGCTGTCTCTTGCTGGCATAATGAGAATTACCTCTTGAGGATTGAGCTGCACGCTTATTGTGATAGCCCACATGAACAGAGGAGATCCTAAAGCTTGCTTGTTCAAATGTTCTGCAGGGGTTGCATATTTTTCTGTGCAAAAATGTAACTTTTTACATTTGCAGCAAATATATATTATTGAGTGTCTGTTTTGGCAGGATGCAGCAAACTTTAGCTTTTTTAATACCTATTTTAATGTGTCAGATTTAAAAAGAGGATTTCTTGTTTTTTGATGAAATTAGCATTTATTTCTGTTAGTTTCTATTCAGTTATATGTAAGGATATTGACAGAGAAGTTTAAGCATTGATTTTATTTGTTTTATTAAAAAATATATGTTTGCACAACAGAACATTTCTGTTTGCACATAAGTTTATTAACAAACATAAACGTCATAAGTACAGTGATTCTTATGGTCTAAAACAAAATACCATTTCCTGTTTATGGAAATCAAACAAAGATGTGTTGTAAGATGTGAAACTTGACCCGTTCAGGTCCGTTTATGCTCCATAATTTCAGGTTAAAGCTAGAAATCATGAAGTGAAAAAGCAGCACTATGTTGCACATGGCACGTTGTTGTGCTAAGAACAATAAATAAATAAAAAATAAATAAAAACTGAGGAGACTGAGATCTTTGGCGGGTTGGAATGAGGTCTTCATTTTCCGAACAGCTCCATCATCCTTCTGTTGTTTTGCGCCTGCTGCGCCAGCTGTTCCGCCCGGGACATCTCCATCATCTCCCGGAGCAGGTGGAAGGTCAGGTCCAGGGAGATCGGTGGGTCCTCGGACCGTCTTCCCCTCTCCATCGACTCGTCTCCGGGGCCTGCGAAGCCGCTTATCAGCGCCCGGATGTTCCCAACTTTCCCCTGCAAGAGGCGCCGCGTCAGCTGGAGCTGCAGCGCCCTGTTGAAGATGGAAGATGATCCGCCGGGATACAAGGACGTGGCTGGAAATGAGTTCGAGTCCCCGTTTCCCAGTCGGATGAAATACTCCTCTCCCAGGCGCTCCAGAATAGGACCAGACTGGTGCTGAGGCTGCTGTTGGGAGTTTTGGGCTTGGGGAGCTGGTACGCGCAGCGTGCCGCCTGGGCTCTCAATAGCCCGACATTCGTGGCGCGGTAAGAAGGCAACAAGCAGAATCACGGTGGTACCAAATAAATTGAGCTTCATGTCAGGATATCAGCTGGAATCTGAGAACAAAAGACAAAGAGGACACATTTTTGGGTTAGTGTTAATGTACGCGCGCAAATGGCGCTGCGTAAAGATGCTTTTGCGCACGCAAAACAGACACTTGAACAATCAGTCATTTTAACTTATATTTTAGGGTAACATTGAACTAATATTGATGTGATTCGCTGACTATTTTTATTATTAATGACATGGGGGACGGGAGATTGGAGCAAAAAACGATCTGCGCGCAAATTCGGATTTGGTTCCAAACATGACTTTTAGAAACAAAGCAAACAAAACGAGGGAAATACTTTCACTGAGAACCGAAATACAAATTCATATGTATTTATCTGAAGAATTAGAGTAATCAAATCAAATGAACATTATGAATTAACCTGTAACAGAAAGTGGAGGTTAGAATAGGAAAACCCTTTCCATACCTTCACTGCAGGTAGTCCAGTCGCCTACAGCCGTGTAGGTTGCCAGGTATTCGGTGAGGTGCCGCCCTCTTTCACTTCTTTGAAGAAACAAGCATCTAGTTACTTAAAGAGGAGATGCTGAATGGCACTTATATAGCCACCGTCACTACAAGTGCGTCTCTGAGCCGACGTTGAGTCTGCGCGCTCCTGCCTGGGTGGAACGTGAATGGACGCCTCTAAAGTGCTTTGGTTCAGATGAGATGAGTCATAAGTGAGCGTGCGTGCGCGTGCACGAGCGTCGACCCCTGTGCTTTCAGAAGGTGTGTGTGTGGGGGTGGGGGGGTGGGGGTGGGGGTTAGGTGCCACACCTGAATGAGTTAGATTCTTAGATTCCAAGAAGGCACAAGTCAGAAGTTAAGGGTAGCTTAGGGCAGAGACCAGCTTCAAACATCATTTGTTTAATCTGCTGTTGATCTTTAAAGAATTAGATGTTCCAGTATGTAATTTCTGATTTATTTTTCCCAAAATGATCGTGGAAACGCTAAGGGGGGATTTGGGGGTGCATTCCAATACGAACCCACTTCTGCACAGTGCATTAATAACGATTCTTAATCTGCTGACCTGTGATGCATGCACCCTGGGCTCATGGAGAGGTGATGCTCCCAGTGATTCTTTGCTGACAAGTGCTGCTATTTTTGTGCAGTGCTTTGTATTTATTAATCCAACGTCTGTAAAACACATCAAGCTTTTTGTAACTGAATGATGTTGACTTTTTCACAGATCTTTTAGACTTTAGACTTGTGTTTTGTCTCTGAGATGTACCTTAAGAACAAATACAACATTTTATTTAAACATTCATTTTGATAGCCTGAGGTGAGGATGAATAATTCATTTACATCCTCTTTTTTTCCGATCAAGTCTTTTTGAGCTTTATTCTTGTTTTACTGAATCCTCCTTCTAGCAAAGCAGTCATATTTTCTCGGGCAAGACACGTAACCCACACGGTCGGAGGGACCGGTGGCACCAGTGCTCAGCAGCCTTGCTTCTGTCAGTGCGCCCCAGGACAGCTGTGGCTACTATGTAGCTCATCAACACCAGGGTGTGAATGTGTGTGTCAATGAGTGGATGATAGGACTCTGAAAGGAACTATATAAAATTCAGGTATTTACCATTTGCTTAGAACTCCAGTTTGTTAACTTAAACTTTAGACTTGCATCTTAGGTGTGTTCTTGCTGTGTCTTTCTAAATCCATGCTTTCGTTCTTTTTTAAACACAGAAACAGTTTTGTTTACCTGTTTTGTAGCTACAGTTTCGCCGACGGCTGCCGGCTTCTTCAGGCTGACGCTGATGGTGGCGCGTCACTTCCTTCTCCGTTTATCTGCGGGCAGCAGAGGACGTTGTCGCCCTCTACTGCCCGCTCTCCCCTCTCCGACGATGCAGTCCCATGCGTGGTCCAGCGTGTAAACTCCGTCGTCCCTGTTCATGGTCCCACATCCACGTCTCCTTATCTCGATTGCTTCCTTGATCCATCTTTTGTATTTTTGTTGTTCGGTGGTTATGATCCGTGTGTTGTCCCAGTCCATTATATGGTTTTCTCTTAAGCAATGTTCTGTTACGGCTGACTTTTTTATTGTACTTTCTGCTTCTTCTTTTGCTGCTCTTGTGTGTTTACGATTTGCCTCTTTCTCGCACTCCTTTCTGTGTTCTATTGTTCGTGTATTGAGTTCTACCGGCAGATAAAGGAAGAACCACAGTAGTTATGGACAGAGAAAAATATAAACAACAGATGAAACAGATGCTAGAGGACAAAAATACATATGAAATACTTAAAAAAGATCCAACAGAAAACATTAAGAAAAACATGAAAAAATTACTGAAGCCACTGCACGAAAAAGGCAAAATAACAGAAAAAATGTACAAACACTGGATTCCTACAGCAAACATAACACCAAGAATATATGGAACACCAAAAATACATAAACAAAACACCCCACTTAGACCAATAGTTGACAGCATAGGTACACCAACATACAACATGGCAAAAGATATCAGCAGAATCATCAGCCCGTTATTAGGAAATACAGACCAACACTGCAAAAATAGTATAGAATTGGCAAAAGAACTAAAGGAAATTACAATAGAAGACAACGACATACTCATCTCACATGACGTCACATCTCTGTTCACAAAAACACCAACCCAAAAAACCATAGACATAGTAGTTAACAGAATCAGACAAGACAAAACTTTACACAAAAGGACAAACCTCACAGCAGATGACATAGCACAACTGATAGGACTGGTAGCTAACTCCACTTACTTCACATACGACAACACAATATACAAACAACTGGAAGGCTTCGCCATGGGTAACCCGTTATCAGCCACCCTGTGCGAATTTTTCATGGAAGACCTGGAACAAAAAGCCATAGCCACCGCCCCCCCAAACTGCAAAATAAAACTATGGAAACGCTACGTGGATGACATACTAGAAATCATACCAAAAGGTCAAACAGAAACACTAACACAACACTTAAACAATATTGATGACACGGGCAACATAAAATTCACTTATGAGTTAGAAACAGAAGGCAGCATAGCTTTTATGGATATGAAAATCACCAGACAGACCGACGGGACCCTAAACATAAACACATACAGGAAACCAACACACACAGACCAATATTTATTATGGACATCAGAACACCCCACCATACACAAAATGTCAGTAATCAGAACATTATATCACCGAGCAAACATAATAACAGAAGAGAGAGACCGTAAACAAGAGGACAAACACATACAACACGCTTTAAAGACCTGCAGATACCCGACATGGGCAATAAACAAAGGAAAACAACAAACAAAAACAGAAAGCAAAGAACAACCCAAAAAAAGAACCAGAAACCCAGAAAGACAAGAACCAAAACCAGTGATAACCCTACCATACATCAGAGGCATAATGGAAAAAATAAGAGCAACAATGAAAAAACACAACATAAACACACCAACAAAGCCATACACAACAGTTAGAAACAGATTAGTACACCCAAAAGACAAAATATCAGCTGGACAAAAATGTGGAGTCATCTACGAAATCCCATGCAAAATATGCAACAAAACATACATAGGAGAAACCGGACGCCAACTCAATACACGGACAATAGAAGATAGAAAGGAGTGCGAGAAAGACGCAAATCGTAAACACACAAGAGCAGCAAAAGAAGAAGCAGAAAGTACAATAAAAAAGTCAGCCGTAACAGATCATTGCTTAAGAGAAAACCATATAATGGACTGGGACAACACACGGATCATAACCACTGAACAACAAAAATACAAAAGATGGATCAAGGAAGCAATCGAGATAAGGAGACGTGGATGTGGGACCATGAACAGGGACGACGGAGTTTACACGCTGGACCACGCATGGGACTGCATCGTCGGAGAGGGGAGAGCGGGCAGTAGAGGGCGACAACGTCCTCTGCTGCCCGCAGATAAACGGAGAAGGAAGTGACGCGCCACCATCAGCGTCAGCCTGAAGAAGCCGGCAGCCGTCGGCGAAACTGTAGCTACAAAACAGGTAAACAAAACTGTTTCTGTGTTTAAAAAAGAACGAAAGCATGGATTTAGACTTGCATGTCTTGGGACTTGACTTGACTCAGAATTGTGTATTAGGACAAACATTTGCTAAAGACCTGCATCTCTGGGGATGAAAACCTGGATCTGAGACTTGTATTTCTTGGAACTATGTTTGTCTCAGGACCTGCATGTCTTTGGACTTGTCTTGAGACATGCATGTCTTTGGACTTGTCTTGAGACATGCATGTCTTGATCCTCAAATTGACTAGGATTTTGCTAGATTTGGGACAAAAACTGCTTCTCTGGGGACAAAATTTGATCCTAGACTTGCATGTTAATGGACTGGATCTATCTTAAGAGTTGAATTTCTTTAGACTTGTCCTGAAACCTGCATGTCTTTGAACCTGACACGACTTGGATGCATGCATTGGGTCTTGAACTGACTCAAACCTACACTGACTTTGGACTTGAATGTCTTCAGACTAGATTTGTCTCAAGACAGGTGTGTCGTGGGATTAGACTTGACTCAAGACTTGCATGATTTGTCTTTAGAGTTGAATGTATTGAGATATGACATGACTTGGAAGTTGCATGTCTTAGGGCTTCATTTGAATCAAGACCAACAAGTCTTTGGACTTGTCTTCAGACTTGCATGTCATGGGACTTGACATGACTTGGAAGTCGCATGTCTTTGAACTTGACTTGACACAAGACTTGCATGTTCTTGGACTTGTCTTCAGATGCTTCAGACTTGATCATCTTTGGACTTGACAGGACTAGGAAGTTGCATGTCTTTGGACACGTTATGAGGTGTGCATGTCTTGGAACTTGGGTTGACTCAGGACCTGAATGAAAAAAAGTTCCAAAACAATGACTAGGAATTATGTTGTCACTCCATATCTGACTAGTGAGTGGCGCTATATCGAATAACACACAGTCCAATAGTGACTTGTGGGCAAAAACACCACCAAAACCCATGCGTTTGAAATAATTTAAGAAAAATGTTACTCAGACTTTCAGCAAAAAAAAAAAAGAACTTCCATAATGAGTGAAAGGGTTTAGGGGGCTTCGCAGAATCTGTGCACTCAAATGAAGACGACCAATCTGAGGAGCTGTGGAAAATCCTGGATTTTTATAAATGTAGGTGCAGAATACCAGGCACCGATTTTACTAGAATTACAGCTATCTTTAGGAAGTCACATATTACATGTATACGAGCATTTTAGTGGATTTAAGTGTAATTTGCAGCCTGACTGTTACTGCTTTTCCTCAGGACTTCTTCACTTGAATGCTCCTCATGCTCTAGGGGGGAGGTGTCAAGTCCCATCATAAGAAGCACATGTTGCCTGACACAAATAAAACACCCCCAGATGAATGAGTGACTGCTCATGGTGAAACATCACCTCATGTTCAAATCACCGCTCATGGACGGATCGCTGCCCCGGAAACTAAATTTTCATCCCTTTTGTTTCCTAAATTAATGGAAGCCTCTCAGATGATTGCATTCAACTAATCTTGCACTAGTGTGATTTTCTTAATATTTCAAATGTCCTGTTTGACTTCAGCTCATTTGTGATCAACGCCAGTTGTGATTTTGTTTCAGTGATTTTGGCGACTACAAAGACCTCCTGTCCTGCAGCTCAGGTGTCCATCTGGGTTTATAGATGAGATAT